AAGAGTTGTATTTATTAGATACAATGGAGGGGCCTTTGCGGGAGCTCGTTCGCAGCAGCTGCGAGTGGGTGTTAGATGAGGGCTACCATGAGCTGGGTTCGCTGGTGTACTTTCAGCAGCGCTTTTTACAGACGCTCGTGGTGGGATCCCCATTGCTGAATGAGGCGTTCACCCGAGAACTTTGGCTGGGATCAGTCGTTTTGTATCTTTGAGCCTAGCTTCTGATTGTGATTGATTCAATAGCAATAACAATGCATCCTTGTCTCAGGAAGGCCTTCCATCGTGCCATCTGCAGTCTTCCAAGATTCTGGACGACAAGAGCCTGTGCCTCTCGCTTGCAGCCTGTTGTTGCTGATCAATGTACATCTAAGTGCTTCGCCCATCCGCGAGGCTTGCAGATGTGTTCCCGACTTTATGTGGGTGGCTTGCTCTACATTTTTGCGCCCCTCGATGCAATGTTGTTGTCGATGTCGGTCATGTTGATCTATGTGACTGATTGCCTTTCTTGCTTTGCAGGCCGTGCAAAGACATCCCAAGTGATCGAGCGAGCGCCGTGGTCGAGACTGGTCTGCTTGATTGAGGAATGAGGCATTAATGAAGTGAGCCACCGATTGTGAACTCAGGATTTCATCCGAGATTTGATGCGGCTGTGTGCAGCGATCAGAGTACGGTGTGTGGTGCAGTTTCCACTCCGCTACAACACGCGGTTTGGCCGCCTTCGTGAGGACTGGTCTCGATTTGCTTGGGATTGCTAATCATTGGCTAAGGCTTGTGGTAGTTTGGCCAATCAAAACGTTGTCGTTCAGGACAATGTAATGGCGATTGCATTCAGCATGGGATCATTCGGCCACTACCTTCCCAACCCCACAATCCTTCTGGGGACAGACCGGCTGCTCTTAAAGGGCATCAAGTACTTGGCCGCACGCATGAGACCAATGCCCCTTGTCAACAATTGACAATAATATTCATGTCACGACCCATTCGTCAATCAGGTCGCATTCCCTAAATGTCATTGTCGCCGACTCAGGTTCAGATTGATGGAGCCACCGGTGGACTTTGATAGGATGCCCGCAACAGCGGCGGGGGCGGAGACATCGGCAACCTTCCATTTTGCTGCCGCTTGATTGAGTTGGCTTCAAGCATTGGGAACAATGTTCGTTGTATCACACCAAACTCAACTGAGGTCATGGACATTTTCATGGTACGCCATCGGGAGACCCAGGCCAACCTGGTATCAATGAACTGGACACGTGCCCTCGATGCTTTGGCGAAAGAGCTTGTCGATCAAGCCACCCGGCACAAGTAACAGAAGCGACGAACAGTGTGTGCCAGGCGGGGTTCGCTTCTTATTCACCCTGAGGACTTGGACCAGTGGTTTGGTCCCATCCCGGCACCGGCTATCCTCCTGAAAAGGAGATGTGCTGTGCACGATTTGTGTTTCGAGGCGGGGATCTGATATTGTCGTTTCCGAAAAAATAAAATACGTAGTTCACTTCTGAGTCTTGGCTTCCACTTTCCAGTCTATTGTCCTGTGCTGAAGGAAGGGGATTTTCTGGTGACACGCCCACCGGCTGCGGCTACTCCTGCACCAGTTCATGCTGGAGCAGTGCCGCTGCTGCATTCATTTCGTGGTTTTCTGTTTCGGCTCCAATAGAACACGGCATTCCTGGCTACAGGGTTGAGCCTCGGGTTCTTGATTAATTGCTTGAGTGCGGGTGGAGCGGGATCCGTGGGGGGACAAATCGTTCTTACTTTGGAATAAATAAATAAAGTTTGTCTGGTTTGTCCAAGCCTGGAATGATCACGGAAGTGTGTTTGCACAGGCACCTACCTGGGAAACCCTTGGATAAGATGCACAGCCTCCTGGACTCCGATTCTTGGCTGGCACACACGACTTCACCCCTAAACCCTAGACCCTAAACCCTAAGCCCTAAACCCTAAACCCTAAACGAAAACAACGGAATAAGACCTGACCCAACTGAATAACCCCAAAACATATCGAGGATGCGGTGGCATGATGTTATATTCTACGTCGAGGAGGATGCATATGAAATATTATTGCTGCCCCCTGGACCTCATGATGCATAATTGGTAATTCTGATTGCACCTCAACGATCGATGGTGCCGTGGTGGCAGAGCTGAGCAGTAAGAGTATTTCTTGATGGGCTTCACTTGTAGAATCAAGGGCTTCTTCGGGACACCAGAGGTATAGCTGTGTTTATTGTTCGGTTGAGGGTCTTAGTGCAGTTACGTTTTATTCATGTTCGTAACACGAAGCTGATGTCATCGGGGCTCGCGGCACCGTGTCACTTCTGAAGCTCGGCATTCGTCATCCGATGGGAAAAGAAAGTCATTTCTGGATCCAGCACATTAACTCTCGAGCGATTCTTTCATATTGCGGTACATGTCGTAATTGACTTTGCACACAAACCAGCACGCAGGCCACCCTCGCACCCACAGACACACACAGCACACGCAACAACACACACACGACACAGACACACACACACACACACGGAGACACGCACACATATACACGTATATACGGACGCACACACAAGCACGCAAAGACAAAGCACACACTCACACCCAAGCACCCCCCCACACACACACAC